GTGCGTGTTAGGCGCAGACTTATCCCTGCTTAGGATTCTGGATAAACTTCCTAGGATGAATCCTAGATTGATAAATTCTTGGAAAAGGTTGGTGTGGGAAAGGAAGAATTTTATATTCTATTTCCCGGTCTTCTTTTAGGGTGAAGGCGAACCCGAATACAAGGAAGGAAGAATTTTATATTCTATTCCTTGATTCTGGAAAGGAAGAATTTTATATTCTATTTCCAGCGCAAAAAAAAACTAGAAGTGGGATCTCCACTCCGAGAATCGGACAGATTCGGATAATCCTAACTGTCGAAAGGTTGGATTACCGAATTAAAGGTGAATTCCTCGTTTATCGAGAGTGAATTGTGGTTTTGGCCCTAACTGTAGGAAGGTTTGACCAAGCGGAAGTTTGAGGTGATCCTAACTATAGGAAGGTTTGATCACTCGATTTGAAAGTGGACCTCTCGTTCATTTGAGGAATCGAGAGGGGAATTTAGTTTTGGTCCTAACTGTAGGAAGGTTTGACCAAATGGGAGGTTTAAGACGATCCTAGCTGTAGGAATGTTTGATCGCTCAATTTATGGGCCTCTCGTTCATTGAAGGAATCGAGAGGGGATTTTGGTTATGGCCTTAACTTTTATAAGTTTGACCTGAAAGCAAGGGAGTGGAATACAAGTAGCAGTAGAAATACTGGTTTGTACAAGTAATCAGGACTTAACATGTCAATCTTTGGAAATTGCCATGAATTGACGGACAGAAAATTTAGTGGACCCACCGTCAATTGACTTGATCAGTGGGGGATTTTTGTGAGGAAAGATTAATCTGTCAAAAAAATTGAATCTCGTCTCAACAAGATAACTCAAGAGAATTAGTGAATTTGATAACAATAATGGAAAACATTCCAACATTTAGAGTCTAAATGTGGATGTTTTACTCATCACTTTTATAGTGATTGGGTATTCCTAAGAATATCACCTGTGGTATTCTTTCGGGAATTTCCCAATACATGAATAATCCACCCCCAGCTTCCCTTGTGGAACTGGGTTCGACATTGTACTCAGTTATATGACTGGGTTATCCTTAAGAATATAAAAATTCTCCAGGAACTTCCCGTGAAAGAAATAAAACAGTTTAGACTCATATACATGTTGGAGTATCAGGGAGCAGTTTAACCTCTTATACCGGTCGGAGGATTGAGAAGCAGTTTATACTCTTATACTTGTCGGAGTCTTGAGAAGTAGTTTATACTCTTATACTTGTCGGAGTATCAGGGAGCAGTTTAACCTCTTATACCAGTCGGAGGATTGAGAAGCAGTTTATACTCTTATACTTGTCGGAGTCTAGAAAGGAGCAATTTATACTCTTATACTTATCGGAGTGTTGCCGTTCTCAATTGGCTTACCCTAGCGTTATAACGCCGGCTTTAACCAAGGTTTGGATGCTATTCTTGAGAGCGAAGCAATCCTTGGTGGGATAAAGGACCCTCCTGTGGTACGCACAGTACTTCGGATCCGCAGTATTGTCAGCTTACTCCTGATTTGCGATAGGTGGTAGCTTGATCTTGTTGTTTTCAAGGAGGGATTCGAAGATGGCTGGAACGTCTTCATCCTTGAAGGAATACTCTTTTTGGAGTCTCGGGTCCGAAGTCTTTTGCTTCCTTCAGGATTGTTGTTGTGACGTTTGATTAGCACCACCAGTAGCTACAGGTGTTTTGCCCTTCCCACGGGAGGCGAAGTTTGAGTTCGGAAGATTCGCCGTCGGTTGGCTCCTCTCGGCTTTCTTCCTTCAGAGGAAGCGTTCGGCTTGCTCTCCTCGGACCTTCAAATCCTTCCATGTTTTGGATGGTGCTGTCCCCATTGCTTCCAACACGTCCAATGCGAGGTTGTTGTGGCAAGTCTGGAGAATGAACTCCTCAGTGATCGGGTCCCGACAGTTCATCGCCTTGTTCTGGAACCTTTTGACGAAGGTATCAACTAATTCTCCGTCTTTCTGTTTCTCGTCATGCAATGACCTGATGGATATCTCGGTGTCGTCGTTGAAGAAATTGGTGAGGAATTTAGTCTCCATATCATCCCAGCTATTCACGCTTCCTAGCTTGAGGTGATGATACCAATCGAAGGCGGCTCCACGAAGAGTGCCAACGAAGGACCGTACCATCAGAGGCTCATTACCTGAGATAACCCCCAGGTGTGATTTAAAGTAAATCAAATGCTGAGTGGATGAACCCATCCCATTAAACGGCGTGAAGTTAATTAGATTGAACTTCGCCGGATACGGGATTGATTCCTATTCTTTTGGGTATGGACAAGGAATGCCCGTCTTCTTCATCTCTTGAGCGAAAATCAACGTATTGATTTTGCTCTCGAGGTTTTTAATCTTCAAGCTTTCACCTATGTTTTTGCTAGCATTCTCATTACCACCCCCTGCATTGACGGGAGGATTATTGGCATTATGAGCTTCATTCGCATTTGTGTCCTCATCTTCCTGATTAACCTGGTTACGACGACTTGGTTCGCCTTGCTGGTTTGTTAGTGCTTGGATTTGTTGGTCATGCATTTCTCTCATATTCTGCATGGCCATCTGCATTTCGAACCTGAAGCTCTCCTGTTGTTTCGCCATGGCTTCTTCGAGCATCTTGGCCACTTGTTCCGCACTTATCATAAGTGACTCGCGAGTTTGTCCCTCGCTGGATACTGTATTATCTGATGCGACCGCCGAGCTGGCATCCGATTCTTCATCTTCTGAAGGTAATCTTGTTCGAATCCTACCATAAGTTGCTTGTATGATGGCTCCAGACTGCAGACGTGTTACACGCCGGGGTATTTCCGGAATCGACTTGGGATTATCCTGTGTCGATGTCCCTTTACTGGTCATATTAGTGGTGACCCTCGGAAATTCTCCATCTTCAACTACCGTTCTTCTTTGTCGGAAACGCCTAGGCCTTGGTTTTGGCATTTTGGTACCGAGCCTTTCGAAAACCGAAATTCTTTCGGGGACTGTCTTGATGCAGTTGCACTCTGATATTATTGCCCGAATAAGTTTGGAACAGGGGCATTGAGTTTCTAGTTCTCGAGGACTCCTTTTTCTGGTTTTACTTGTACCCCCACCACGATAGTACAACTCATCGGTTTGAAGGTCGGAGTAACCTATCGTGTGTTGGCACGTCTTCTCATGTATAACGCTATCGTCATCAGACGACAATGTTTCCTTTTGAGGGCGAACTGCCTTCTTTGGGCTTTCAAGAGTCACGCGCCTCGAAACATGCCTTTGTGGGCATGAGTTCTCAGCGGGCTCCTGGACCTCTATGTGCAAATTGGTGCGCCTAGCTGCCATGATCTCTTTGTCATGTTGAGGATAGCGGTGACTCTCAGCATGTTGAGTCGTTCAGGGCTTCTTATTGGACCCAAACGTTCTTGAACTGGAGCTTTGCATCGCTCCTTGGGAAGTGGACCGAGGCGCTCCAAAACTGACCTCCTTCTTCGGGATGGTCCTGTGTGATCTCCCGGAGTAGCTATTGGCGATTTAGGTTGGTTCGCCGGAGGTTGAACTTTTGCTGAAGGCTGCAAAGGTTGCTTTTTAGCCTGAATCGTCGCTTTAGACTTCGGCCTTCATACTTCGTGGGTTGGTGGTGGCTGTAGGCATATAAAATTGCTTATAGGTCCCTTAGCTCAGCTCGGCACGAACCGTCAAACCAACGAGGCGACGAGATCGACGAATCGCACGCAAGCAACGGAATACATCCATTCGCGTGCGGGATCAAGCCAAGTGTTCGAAGAGTCAACGAGTCATCCAACCGAGAGCGGACTCGAACGAATCACGATCGAATCAAGATCAGTTTCGGACTCAGACTCAGAAGTGGATTTACTGCCTAATCGGGATCCGGATTTACTGCCAAATCTGGAATCAATGTCAAACCGAGTCGTTTCCGAGGTCAAATCAAACCACAACAAGAACACAAGCGAATCAAGTCCAGATCAACAACGAAGCGGCAGAACCGGACAACGAAAAAAATGACGGAAACGAAGCCACCCCTGAGGTGGCTCGGCCAAGGCCGAGCCACCCCTTGGGGTGGCCGAGCCACCTCAGGGTGGCTCGGCATGAGCCGAGCCACCTTGAGGTGGCCGGCCACCTAGGGGGTCGGCCACACGTGCACACGGGCACAGTGACGCTTGGCTATAAATAGGAGAGGGGGTTGTTCATTTTCAGGGGTTGGAAATCTTGGAGAGGCGAAGCCCTGCTGGATTGGAGACTCAGATCCAAACAAGATTCAAGCTTTGGGACTTCGAGGACTTGCACATCCAGATCTGGTGCTCGACGACCGTCAACGCCAAATAAGGCAGGAGTTTGAGAGGACCGGATCTCAGATCTACACGTACGAATTCCGGATCTAAGCTTGGTCTTAGATCCCGAGACTTGAGCGATTGTTTCCTTGGTGAATCAATCCCTCCCGGCTATTATTTCCTTCGTGGAATAATACCCGTCGTACTGCGTAGATCCGACCGGATCTAGATCGCGCGGTGGTCCACGGCAAACAACCCCGGCGCAGGCAAAGAACCCACCAAGCGAGCGACCGCAAAACAGGAGCTCGTGATTCGTTCGACAAACAAGAGAAAAAGTTGTAATCTTTCTTTTATTTTATTTTGATTTTCATTGTAACCGGATCTTATAAAAAGACCGTATCTTTGTAACCGATAAACTGTTAACAAAGTAATCAATGGAATCAATAAAGAAAGCAACGGTTTTTCCCGCGAACAGGGGGTGCTATGTGATCAGACATGATGACCATGACCCAGCCCGGGTGTGTCCTTGACCTGAATTTTGGCTTTGAACACGAAGGGTATTTTGGGTATTTCGCCAAAATTCACCGCGAAAACGATCATTGTTTTGCGGGCACAAAATTGGTAGGTTTAATTAGACTTTAACTGTAAAATCCTATTTATTTATAGGATTTTAAGTCCAAGTGCTTAATTTCCTTTTTTAAATTTCGTGTATTCATATTATACCTGACAGATTGCTTTTCACTGCAGATTTCCGATGTCTCCTCGTCACCATCGATCTTCCGGGAGTTATCCCCATTCGCAGCACAGTGAGGAGGAGGTTCCCACGACGTCTTTCCCGGCAGACTTTTCCTTCAGGGGTGAGAATTCTCTATTTCTGTATCCCTGACTGATCCCTTAGCGGGTCATTAAGGAAGAACCGATACCTCTTTCGCGGAGGTTAAGGTTTCGGACTTGTTTTGCTTAGCCAATTCAAGTCTTCGGATATATTGGGGCGATTCTTGTGTTGTCTTACACCTTGTAGTTCGGTATATGTTGCCACGTTGTTCACGTGATGATGCATACCGTTCTTCCGGTGTAGGACACTCAAAATCGTCTCTCCAATTATTCCGTGAATGAGCTTATCATTCTACTTATGAGACGGATTTTCTGACTCCATCTTTGTATTTTATTGCAGTTGAATTCCCCGCGGGTAGTCTTCCTGCTCATGCCAATGCCGGTTGTAGCCGGGAGGTTTTTTCCTCCACTTCCATTGGGCAAGTCATTAGCCCATTCCCACAGTTTGACCAGGATCGTTCTGACGATTCCTGCCGTTTAGTACGGGAAGGAGGGCGCCATTGCTTGCGCCAGCTTATCACAGACGCCACTTTTACCGCTGATTCTACTTCCACTCAGGCTTTACAGAAGCCGAGCTTCTTGTTCGGGGATCATGTCGAGGACCCCGCTATACTGACTCTTGGAGAGGAGCACTGGCTGACTCTTGATGGAGGAGCTCTTTTATACATTCCATCAATTCCCCGCCAATATTCTTTTACCCATTTGAGGAGACAGGCCGTGAGGCGACAGATGTCCTGGGATCTTACTAAGGATGCTGAGCGAGTCCCGTGTGGATATACCTCTCATTCTAAGACCCCTGGTTCTGGCGGGTATCACCATATTCGTGGTCTTTGCCCAGGGATCACGGGCCTTGATACTGCACCCCCAGGTGAGACGTCAGCAGCTGCCTCTACTGTGGGTAATCGTCTGGCTCTTCTGGGGAGGCGATTACCTCCACCAGAGCCCAGATGCTATGGCTGGGCTTCCTCACTAGCCAAAGGGTGGTGGGCGCGCATGACTGATTTCGTCTTGGCGCGCTGGGAGAGGGATCTGAAGAGTAGTGGGTTATATGCACCCATACGAGCTACTATGTACGGAATCCCAGTTAGCTGTCGCCATTTCTTGGCTTTGCTGGAGACTTATATGCCCGATAGCAACACCTTCCTGACCAGCGGTGGTGAGCTAGGGTTGGCCTTGCACGAGATGCACCATGTTTCGGGTCTTCCGATGGGGGACTGTCCGTATCAGGAGTACTTCCCTACGAACCAGCAGCTGGAGTGTATGAAGAAAGATACTCCGGACATGTATGACACACTCTGGGATCTTACTTGCCACTACTATACTTCCTTGATCCAAACTTCTCCTCAAGCGAGAAGGAAGAGGCAGGTCAGCTTGAAGCAGTTTGCCAGCTACTTGTTTCAGAACTTGGAGGGTGATTCTAGTGCGCCCATTCATGAATTAGACGTGATGACTCCTTCGGCCGTTAATGAGTTGTTGGAAAAGGCTGAGGTTCGTTCCTACACCATCGGCAGTGCTGAGGGAGCTTTTCCCGCGGGGACCAAGTTTCGCTCTTTTCTCCGCCGCGCACAGAGGTCTATAGGGTCCCGGGCGCTATTAGCAGGCTACCTTGCCCTTTGGTTGAAGAAGTGTGTCGTCCCGCACCAACCTTCTGACGCTCTACCCATCGAGGTGCTCTTCCCTGCAGTTCAGCTGGCTTATGGGAGAGAGCTTTCCCTGCTCCCAGCAATGGTTGCTAGTATCCATTGCGGGCTCAGGGGTCTGGTTAGCAGTTTTACACATATGGGTTCTGAACCATCAGCTGAGCTGGTTTGCCCAAAGGTTGAGCTCCCTTACGCATATTTGATGGCGTGGCTCGTTCTTCACCGTCCCGACTTGATGTCGGCCCCCAGCGTTGTTGACATCCCTGTCCCCTTCATGCAATTGTTGGAGCAGAGCAGATGGTTTGGGAGCAAATTTAGTGATGTTCAGCGAGAGCTCCGGGTCCGCAAGAGTTGGGAGTTCTTTAAGTGTTTCCCTCACTTTTCAGGTCGCTATGGCGACGTGCTGGTTGATGAGGAGAAACCTAGAAGTGACCGGACCGTTCTTGACGCTGGTTGCTTCCGGTGGTTAGTGAACATCCGTGTAGGCTATCTCGTCCTTCGGGTGAAGAACCAGTGCCACATAGAGCCTTATCTCCCTTGCCGCTTTGCTCGACAATTCGGCTATGACCAACTGTATGTCGGGAATCCGAGCCGCAGCCTGCGGGTTGAGGGAGGATTGATTGATGGCGTTCGAGCGTGGCTATGGACGATGGTGGGCTGTACTGGAGCCCGTTTTGCTCTTCCTTCGTACCGGCGTAAGCCATTGATCACTTTCCTCAGCTGCAAGTGGTTCCTTTCTGCATATGAGTCCATCAGCGTGAGGAGCCTCTCAGAGTTGCAGTCCGAGTACGCGGTCCGGGCTGCTATGATGGCTGGTCGCAGAGCTGAGCTTGCTCAGAAGCGGAGAAAAGGGCATGCCAAATCTCTTGTCTCAGACGAAGAAGAACTTCTCCCTACGGGTGATGATGACGAGACCTCCGAGGACGAGTATGCGGACGCAGATACCGGCAGAGGGGATCTCGATACTGGTTTGTCCTATCTCTTTTAATTTTCATTTTCCATAAATGACAGCTCTTTTTCATTGAAATGGCTATTGTCACTTTAGGTAGGGCAGTCAATGATCATGAGCCACCAGCTCCTACACACGTTGAAACGTGTGATAGGCCTGCGCATGTTCGACCCTTTGGTCCTCGGAGGGTTGGTGCCCCGAAGAGGAAGAAGACCGCCCATAAGCCCCATGACGATCAGCGTCCCTGTGGAGTGGACTTAGGGAGCACTGCCGATGGAGGGGGAGGTAACATTCAATTGCTCTTGCTTCAAGGTTGTTTACCTTTTGGGGATTTGTGACCATGTTTTGTGCTTCAGGTTTCTTCGAGGAGGGCGAACTCCCACCGGGTTCGGCGTCCCCTGGCGTTGACAACATGGATTGCTTTGTGCAACAAATGTGCGACGCTTTTCACGATGGGTCTTTGGGCATCGACCTTAACATCGATCTTGAGCAGATAAATAATGTTGAGCCCACAATCCCTTATTCAGGTATATCCGCATCCAATGTCATTTTCCTTATGTAAGGTGAAGGAAGATTTCTCGTTTGAGCTTTCCTCATCCTTCAACATTTGGGTTACCCTGCAGATGTTGCGATGGAGGGGCCAAGCTTCTCGAAGCCGGATGCCGGCTTATTAGCTGACATGCTGGCTGAGCAGACTTCCAGAGGGACCGAGAGACCATTCTTCGGGAACGATTCATCTACCGGTATATATCTGATTTTCTCCCTCTTGCCCGATATTTCATATGACTAATGAATGATTGATTATCGCAGCGTCTACCATTGGAGTTAGCCCGGTATCTATCCCTGGCATATCCAGTTTGCCTCAGAGCGACGGGCTTGCAGGTATGTATACGATTCAGGGATATTGTACTTTCCTATGTTTATCTGTCTTTTGACTAATGAGTGCAATCATAGGACCAGCCGCTAGGACTGATTCTCATATGACTCCTGTCGCCGGTTTAGTCTTTCCCCGTAGAAAAAGACACCAGAGTTCGATTCTGGGGTATTTTATCCCGAAGCCTAAGGAGGGATAAGTCAACGTTTAATACACGTTGCTGGGTAGCCTATTCCCATGACAACGGCGAAGTCTATGTATTCAAAGTCATAGCAACAAGTCTTAGAGGATTCAGTCTCTAAGCACAACGTTACATGCGGAACGGATTTAGACAATTCGCATGCTAGCCCGACTCAAACGGTAGTCGGTAAAGGCTAATCAAATCCGTTAAAGGCTTGGGGTTAGCCAAAAATCCTAAAGTCAACGCCTAACACGCGTCGCCGGGTAGTCTATTCCCGTGAGAAAGACGAAGTCTACGTATTCGAAGTCGTAGCATCAAGTCTAAGGGAGTTCATTCCTTTAGCACAACGTCACATGCGGAACGGACTTAAGACAATCCGCATGTAAGCCCGATTCAAACGGTAATCGGTAAAAGCATGACAAATCCGTTGAGGGCTGAGGATTTGCCAAAAATCCTAAGTCAACGTCTGATACACGTTGCTGTTTAGTCTTTTCACAGGAGAAAGACGAAGTCTACGTATTCAATATCGTAGCACTAAAAGAGTTAACTCTTTTAGCATAACGTCACATGCGGAACGGACTTAAACAATCCGCATGCTAGCCCGACTCAAACGGTAGTCGGTAAAGGCTCATCAAACCCGTTGATGGCTGAGGGTTTGCCAAAAATCCTATAAATACGAGAGTCACTGACGCATCAGCTTCATTAGTTGGTCTCGTGACTTGAGCATCCAGCGACATTCAAAACCCTAAGGTTAACGCCGGACAACGCATAACCCTAGGTCAACGCCAGTCAACGCGTTGCAATCAAACAGTCAACGTACGACGTCCAAAACCCTAGGTCAACGCCAGTCAATGCGTTGCGATCAAAAAATCAACGTACGACGTTCAAAACCCTAGGTCAACGCCGGACAACGCGTAACCCTAGGTCAACGCCTATCAATGCATTGCAATGAAAGAACTAATACTCCGAAAGGTATACGAGTATAAACTGCTTCTTAATACTCCGAAAAGTATACGAGTATAAACTGCTTCTTATACTCCGAAAAGTATACGAGTATAAACTGCTTCTTATACTCCGAAAAGTATACGAGTATAAACTGCTTCTTAACACTCCGAAAAGTATACGAGTATAAACTGTTTCTTAATACTCCAATAAGGTATACGAGTATAAACTATTCCCTATTGTTGGTTGAGAAGTTCCTGGAGAATATTTTCATTCTTAAGGATAACTCAACAACACTACGCCGGACAACGCGTCGCAAATAAAGACTCAACGCCGACAGTCGAGGGTCAGTTCTGTGTTCAACCAACAAGCACGAGCTAAAAATCAGAAAACCAGGAATTGACTTCAAGTTCGAATTTCCGACAACGGTCAGACAATAAATGCAGCACCGGAACTCTTGCAGACATTCGACAAAGCACCGAATAGCCTGGAGGATTGAAGTAATCAAGAACGGAAGTCATTCCAAGGTCCCATTACACCGACTGAAGGTGGGGACAATCATATCCAAAGTATTCCAGACTCTTCTATAAAAGAACGAGACTGAAGGTTGAACTTTCGGAGGCTGCAGTTGTTGCTCCTTAGTCTGAATCGCCGCTTCAGACTTCGGTTTCCAAGCTTTGCGGGTGTAGGCATATAAAATTGCTTATAGGTCCCCTAGCATAGCTCGGCACAAACCGACAAACCAACGAGGCAACGAGATTGACTAATCGCACGCAAGCAACGGAATACGTCCATTCGCGTGCGGGATCAAGCCAAGTGTTCGAAGAGTCAACGAGTCATCCAACCGAGAGCGGACTCGAACGAATCACGATCGAATCAAGATCGGTTTCGGACTCGAACTCAGAAGTGGATTTACTGCCAAATCAGGAATCCGACTTACTGCCAAATCAGGAATCAAATCAGAGTCTGGATCAACCGAATCATGGACAGAACCAAAGGCGGAAAACACCGAAAAACCACCACCTAGAGGGGTTCGGCCGAAGCCGAGCCAACTTCAGGTGGCTCGGCCCAAGCCGAGCCACCTCAAGGTGGCTCGGCCAAGGCCGAGCCACCCCCTGGGGTGGCCGAGCCACCTCAGGGTGGCTCGGCATGAGCCGAGCCACCTTGAGGTGGCCGGCCACCTAGGGGGTCGGCCACACGTGCACACGGGCACAGTGACGCTTGGCTATAAATAGGAGAGGGCCTTGGTTCATTTGAGGGGTTGGAAATTTTGGAGAGGCGAAGCCCTGCTGGATTGGAGACTCGGATCCAAACAAGATTCAAGCTTTGGGACTTCGAGGACTTGCACATCCAGATCTGGTGCTCGACGACCGTCAACACCAAATAAGGCAGGAGTTCGAGAGGACCGGATCTCAGATCTACGCGTACGAACTCCGGATCTAAGCTTGGTCTTAGATCCCGAGACTTGAGCGATTGTTTCCTTGGTGAATCAATCCCTCCCGGCTATTATTTCCTTCGTGGAATAATACCCGTCGTACTGCGTAGATCCGACCGGATCTAGATCGCGCGGTGGTCCACGGCAAACAACCCCGGCGCAGGCAAAGAACCCACAAAGCGAGCGACCGCAAAACAGGAGCTCGTGATTCGTTCGACAAACAAGGAAACAAAGTTGTAATTTTTCATTTCTATTTATTTGATTTTCGTTGTAACCGGATCTTATAAAAAGACCGGATCTTTGTAATCGATAAACTGTTACAAGAGTGTACAATGGAATCATTAATGAAGAAAGCAACGAATTTTCCCGCGAACAGTGGCGTTTTGGCCACTTCCTTCTGTAGTCTTCTGCGGGCTTCTTGGACTTGAGCCCGTGCTTGCGCTGACAGTGTGCGGCGCTTGCGAATGCGCTCATCAAGTGTTGAACGATTTCGTTTGACACGGATCCATTCATTCGTTGGCGGCTTGGAGGAGTTGCCATTCATTGTTTGTTGAGGCTGTTTTCCTCTCCTGCTCTTCATATCCGCGTTATAGCAGATTCCGTCAGTGGACTCCATTGCCTTTGCGAATTGCCGCGCCAGGCATTGACGTCGCCTCTGGCAGGCTCTCTTTGAGAGAGTCACTATGCCCTCAGCGGCGGAGGAATTGGCAAGAACAGATTTGACCTGGTTGGAGGTCGGTGGAGCTTCACCCGATGCAACTTTGGCATCAATTGGGGTGAGATCTTCGTTGGTATTCTGCACTTCTTCGTACCAACGGACTTTTCTCCTGGAGGAGAACTTCTTGGACTTGCGGGGGGAGGTGGATCCGGACGAGGATGACAGATACTCCTCGAACTTTTGTTGGTCAAATAGATCCGCGGCTGCGACGCAACGATC